CAAGAGTCAGGGTGGCTTCTGGGTAATACCAGATGGCTAGGCCTCAGACTGATGAAGCCTCTTGGATCAGGGGCGAAACGTTTCTTTTTAACAAAAAACGAAGTCCAGATGACATGATTCAACCTTTTTTGTTGTTATATACCTGGATGACTGAGAAAACAAACTTTGAGTTTTTGAAACCATTAGTGAAAAGGCCAGACTTCAGGGGTATCTGAGGCAGGCTTGAAACACTTGAGGATACAGTTTTTTTTGGGATTTTTCACCCTTTAAAAGCTCATCTCTGCCTCCAGTTCTTGATTCTCCTAATCCTGTGAACAGAGCTGTGAATCTTGGCTGACCTCATGATTCAATTATGATTCTTCAGTTGACCATTCAGTGCATCTTCATGTGCTGCATCCTTTTTGTTTGTTGTTTAAACCACCATTTGCTTCCATTCTCTCAGTGATAAGCAGTTGGATAAACTTTATTGCTTTGAAAACTCAAATGCATCTTGACGTTGAGCTTTGCGTTCCTCTGCTTCGCTAACATCAGCAAGTTGAAGGGATGTTACTTCTTTGGCATTTTCACATCAACTTAAAGCAGTAGTTCAGATTTACAGAAAGTTCTTGACCAAAGTGGATTAATGTCGCCTTCGAATAACTCCAGTTTAAAGAGAGTTCCACTTTCAGGCCATTCGTGAGAACATTATTGCCACAATAACCACATAACATAAAACACAAGGTGGTTTAAATGTTTATAATGTAAAGTTCACAACAATTTGTTATAAATCTTGGGAGATCGGAGTCATTCTAAGATGGCAGCAAACCTCGTTGTCGGCTCTGACACTAGCTGTTAGCTCGTTGTTTGATCAGAGTTAAACTCGGTTTCTCCAAATAGAAGTTATTGAACAGCCTACAACATAAAATACTTTAATTGTACATAACTTTTCCATAAAACTTAACTTTAAGTGTCTGAACTATCCCTTAACACATCAACTTACGTATTTGATTTTCAAGGATATTCTAAGTCATTTTCCCAGTGCCAACAAAGTCCATGCTCAATAATCCAGGTATACAATCCAACAATTTTCAGTCAGGTCATCTGGACAGTTTCTTCTTCTATTCTTGTATACCTGGATTATTGAGCATGGACTTTGTTGGTTTTGAACCAGTTTGACATGACTGTCGACGAGGGAGAGGACAAGCACCGGAGGAGGGGGCGGGCCAAAAAGACCATCTTAGCTTCAACATAACTGGTTTGTTCCACTTTGGAGTAAGCTGTTGGGGGAAGAATCAGTTTTGTGTTGTGCGTTTCCTTGACTGATGAAGCCTTCTGGATGGAAGGTGAAATGTTTCCGCACAAAAAAAAAAAAAAAAACTGCCCAGATGACCTGACTGAAAATTGTTGGGCATTTTCCCAGTGGTTTTACAACTCAAGTCAAATAAACCCATCTATTTAGGTTTTGCTGTTTTTATTATATTATTACAGCTGTACTAATACATAGCTGTATATTATTACAGCTATTATTTTTTATTAAAATGAAGACAAATAAATGAACACTACTAACTATCCTCTTTAGATTTTGTCAGGTTGTCTACGACTTTCCTGTACTTTTTACTGCTAGCTGTTTATTAAAGTCAAAATGTATTTTCTGTATCCTTATTATTTCTTTAATCAGTGCACATGTGGTCAAAGTGGCGACAGACGATCGGTTAATTTTGCACTTCTGTGCATTTGCTTTTAACTTCCAACATGCTGAGCTTGCTTCACCCCATGAAATTGTTCCATGCTAAAAGCGGCAGCAGACTATCAGGGGATCTCAAGGTGTTTCCTGTTTTTGGTGACCCCGACATGAAGTGGGCTTCTCTCAGCACGGGGTGTGGCGAGGGCCGAGGAACGCTGGCACGAAAGTGTCACGGTCGAGGGTGGAGAGGAGCTGAGCTCAGCGCACACTGAACAAACTAATGCCATTAGTGTTTCTAATACTATTGTGCAGCTCTCCCAGCTAATGCCCATATGCAGTGTCCAGTGCTGAAGGCCCATTATGAGCTCAGACCCCTGAGCCAGACATTTGGACCAACTTTACAACTAATCTTTGATGTGGACAAAACACACATAATCGCTCTGAGCCTGCTGTGACCTGACCGGGAGGGACCTATTGTTGCTCTTCCCACAAAAGCCCAACGAGCATGTGTGCGTATGTGTGTATGTGTTTGGGGGGGTTCACTCTCATGCCCTCACAATACGCCATTGTCCTTCAAACCTCCACAGTAATTTATGTAAAGATTCTCTCTCTCCTTTCGTCTCATCCATGGCTTTTGTCGTTTCTTGCTCCAGCCTGGAGTCCTCCCACCCCCTCCCCTCCCATAATGTCAGGCAGTGTCCATTTTTTGCTCGTTCTATCCTTCTGTCGTGCATCCCCGCTTCTCTACCCATTTACCTCCCTGACCATCGTCCCATATTGATCCCAATTTTGTCCTCTTACACGCCGACATCCCTTCGCCTCACTCACTTAACTCTTTCATCCCTCATCTATTTGTTTCACGTACTCCTCCTTCTGGACTAACACAAAAAGTAAAAAAAAAAAAATCAAGCCAAAAAAATAATTTTACAGTTGTGCGTGTATGTGTTTGTGTGTGTCCCTTTCTTCACTCCCCTCAGTGAATGTAATAGATAAAGGGAGAGGAGCACAGGAGGACATCATGGAGAAACCATTACAATAAAAACACCCGGCAGGTTTATGAAAACATCAAATTAATGCCGTTTTGAATAAAGTTATAAAAGGTATTAATAGAAAAATCTGCAATTTGCAAACACCGGAACATAATCATATAATAAACAAATCTGACTGTAAGAAGCCTGAAAGGAAAACTGATTGTATCACTTAAATAAACCCAACACACAAAAAAAGGACAAGCTAAAGCTTTTTGCACCTGAACAACATCAAGCTTTAAGCCACATTTGCTTCTAATAATTGTACATCGGATATATTAACCAGACATGGGCAACATATGGCCTGAGGGCCAAACGTGGCCCTCGGACACTATCCATCCGGTCCCAAAACTCTTTATTAAGAAAAAAATGAATAAACAAACATTTTGTACTAACAGAAAGAAACAAAAGTCAGATTTTTACCTTTGATTTCACTTTCCATTTCACTTTGTGCAAAGTTCAAGAAAAAGCTTGAAATAAAGTATTTCAGATTATGTCTTTAAGAAAATTCTATACACGGCCCTTTGATTACTTTAATTATCTTGATTTTGCCTGTTGGGGGTGGAAAAAAAAGTTGCACACCCCTGCTCTTGTCAGCAGAGCTAAAATGATATGAAACGCACCTTTAGTTGTTTGACATTTTACGTCAGCTACATTAAGATCAGCTGTCAAAGAATAATGCTAATGAAGAAAATCAATCTTAAGGAGATTGTTTTGATCTTTGGATGTGGGGCTTTGTGAAAAGATTGTGAACAGTCAATATCTAACCTGCTGCAGACAGCTTTTTGTTTGAAGAGTTTAACTCTGATTAAAATGATGAGCTGAGTGTCTGAGTGCAGAGGATTGTTGCCATCTTAAAAACAACTCGAAATGATGTCCTGACATTTCTAGATAATTTTATCATCTGCAAATTGCGGTATCAGCTAGCTGTAACACTTTCTGTGCAGGCTGGGAAACTCTTGGCAGTAATATTATAAATGTTTCCTAAACCCAACCAGAACCAAAGTCCCAGAGCTTTTATACATTTAACTATATAAAACAATTTAGTGGCATTCAAATGAAGACATATTTTTAAATGAGTATGAAGTCATCAGTTTCATGGATCCTGTGTCACAAGAGTCTTCAAACATCCTGTACTTACAGCTGTAGTAGTAATGTTTCCCCGGCAGAAACTCGAAGCCCAGGGAGAAGGGAGTAAACCTTTGGATCTTCTCCGAGAAGCGCACGGGTCCAAATGGAGCGAAGGGGGTGTTACACTCCCACCGCTTGTTGGCCCCTCTGGTTTCCACACAGCCTTTGAACGACTCCTCGCCCACCAGGTAGAGGGCCAGAGTCTCCGGCTGCTCCGGAACTGGAGCCCCCATGGCGGAGTAATGGGGGCAGTAGATGTCCAGGTAATCATTGAAATTCATTTGGATGGACAGATCTCCTGCCGTTAGCCTGGAAGGAAGAACAGCAGGGACATTAATATTTCACATAACAATTACAGACTAATTCAACATCGAGTTGGTGATTAAACACAAAGAGCGCCTGGAGGAGCGCAGAAGATGGAAAGGTCATCAATAACGCAATTACTGTTGATGATGGAACAAAGTTTGTGCAGGACTTCAACAACGTTTTGGGCTTTTATAGATCACAGCTTCATTCTATTCCGACGAGGGAGCGATGCGCATCAAATGGGAACAACAACTATTCTCAAAATGCTAATCAACACCACCGGGAGAGAAAGATGAGCGTAAAATAAACTCGACTCCCTCTGCTTTCCACTTCCTACTTTACAACACAGACAGGCATGTGCAAACTGAAACGCACTTGCACGTGCATACTCAACCATGTCAGTCAAGGCTGACTAGCTTTTAGTACTACAGCAACTTTGGACAAGACTGCATTTTTAGAACAGAAGAAGCCCTTTCACACGGAGGCCTCTGACTTCCTGTCAGCTACAAAGGGTTACCCATGTAGAAAGGTATAGGAGAAATAGATGAGTAGGAAAATAAAAAAGAGGTAAACATGACAAAGACAAATGAACAGCACGCAAAAACAAAGAGATGTTTAAAACGTGATGCCACAGCTGGAAAAAGCAGAATCACATCAAAAGCGAGAGAAAAGTTAGACAAATAGGTGAAGAAAGTCAAGTAAAAGAAAAAGAAAGTAAAGTGTTTTAATTAGTGACCCCAGAGAGTCAGAGAGGAGAACACCGAAGCGAAGGAAGGACTTTAATTGGGCTCCTCTTCTCATGGAGCAGCGAGAGGAAAGAATGAGGGGCCGAATGTGGCTCGGGCAGAAGGGTTCAGGTCCGTCAGTGGGAGTCTTTATAGAGGGGTGACGGACCGAGGGAAGAGAGGAAGAGAGTGCTGGGACTCAGTGTAGGGGAAAGCTAGCGTAGGATGGGGCAGAGGTGGAGGTGGTGTTGCGCGGCAGCTCGGACTCAAGTTAAGTAGGCGGACAAAGGAGGAGGGCAGAAGAATAAATAGCAGGAGAAAATGAGAGCGGGGAGTAGTGAAAGTAGAAGGAAGAGTCTGATGAAAACAGAAGTGAAGCGGGTAGACATGACAGGAAGCAGGAGTCTGAGATGGTCCAGCAAATCTGCGGAGTGTATTAAAGACGGATGGAGAAATGAGATGAGAAATGACAAGAGACTCGCAGAGGGAAGGGAAGCATAACTAAAGAAGAACTCAAACGGACCTGAACATTCTCCAATACTGCAACTCTGAAACTGAACGTGAGTGCAGTAGGTGGTCACCTGAGTCAAATAATGGAGCAGAACAGACTAAAACACAAAGAAAAACTCTGGTGATGAAGCTTTCCGAGGCCGTTTCCTGTGTAACCAACGATCTATCAAAAAGGACAGGACTTCATTGATCAGGATAAGTCCCCCGAGACACAAATGCATGATCAATATCCCCTCTGTCCCTGTATGTGCAGCAGACCATGTCCAGTGACTATTACCTGTGAGCACTAATTATAAAAGATGTTTGAGTTTAAACTAATGCATGTAAGCACACGCTCTGACACAAATATAGAAGCACAAAGCAGTTTTTCCCCTCCATACCACCTGTGGTGCTTTTAAAGACAACTCTACAGCTGAAAAAGGTTTCCTGTTGAGGTGTGTGCACATGTGTGTATGTGTGTGTATGTGTGTGTGCATTTAACAATAGACTCATGCTGCGTCAATAAGCTGCACTACCTGCTACAGATGTCACTCACTTCAAGATTCCAACAAACCTCACTCTGAATTCCTCCTCACCCTGTTTTTCCTACTCCATCTCCTCCCCACTTTGGATGGCACACACTCATCCTCCATCTGTTGCTTTCAGAGACTGCATAGCCTATATTACCTGACCCCCCCTCCATCTCCCACAAGCCTCCCTCCACCCTGAGCCTGCACCATATGCACACCAGCAATTACAGAGTTGGTACGCTGTACCAATGTCAAACTGTCATCCCTCTTTTCCCTTTCTCTTCCTTTTCCTTCTTCCCCTTCCTTCTCTCCAGTCCTGGTAGGCTTGGGTATGCCCTAATTACACTCAGCATCCTCCCCTCCTGCCAGACACCAAGCCAGGAGAGCGGTGACAGCAGAGGGGCATCATGGGAACCTTGCAAGCTGTGGATGTCAGAGAAGAAAGCGCTCAAGCAGCCTATCGGCGGGAGATTCCTCTGGATGCAACAAAGAAGAATGATTGGGTCCAGTTTGCTAGAGCGGAGGGTGAATAACAGCACACTTACCCACAACACACAAATAGTTTCACTTATACCACAGAGCTGTGCCTTTTCTTTGAGGGTGATGAGGGACACAATTTTAAAAGAAATTGGTGCGAGTTTTTTAATCCATCCATCTATCCGTCCATTCATCATCTTTACCTGCTTTTTTCTTTTTGGGTCACTGGTGGCCATATCCAGCCGTCCCCGTGTGAGGGGCAGGGCACACCCTGGACAGGTCTCCAGTCCATCACAGGGACACATAAACTGAGACAAACCACCGTTCCCTCTCTCATTCACACCTAGAGACAATTTAGAGTTACCAATCAGTCTAACACAGTGGTGTATTCTACATTTTTGTAGTGGGTATAATGTGGTAAAGTTAGTTTAACGTTGGACGCTGGACACCGCTGAAGCCACGGAGCGTGAATGTCCAACGTAAAACTAACTTTACCGCAGTTGCTCTGTATACTGTGCTTAAAAACCCAAGTACAATGTACAATGTAATCATCAACTTATTTTGATTTTTAAACAGATCGAACATTTCCAAATTTCTCTGATGCTAATATTTGAAGAAATGAACAACAAACTTTGTACGACAGTTGGCTTTGTATTAAAAACATGTTATAGAATTTATAAAACAGTATCAAAGCAAAACGTGTTCAAGAATTAAGTAGTAAGCACAGAAGTATTAATTATACAATAATTTGCTGGATAATCGACTGTAATAAACAAGAACTGATAGACTGCTTTGGAAGCATTTAACTGCTGTTTAACATATCCATGACATGCGCCTAATGAGATGTCATGTATCATTGGGCACTTTTAAGTGGGTATACTGAAGCTTTTCTAGTGGGCATAGTTCGTATACCCGCGTATCGCGAAGACTACACCACTGGTCTAACATGCATGTTTCTGGTCTGTGGGAGGAAACTGGAGTACTCGGAGAAAACCCACGCAAGAGAGAACATGCAAACTCCACCCTGAACGGTCCCGACTGGGATTCGATCTGGCAACCATCTCACAGAGCGGCAACAGCTCTACCAACTGAGCCACCGTGCCACTGCAAGCTTTTTATTGACAAGAAAAATTAAACTGAGGAACTGAATCAGAGATAAACTGAGCTTGTCCATAAAAAAAGCAAAAACCTGAAAAAGCCAAAGTTGTTTCCAGAATAGTGCTCTCAAATCCAGAAACTCAACATCACTGATATCCTGCAAATGTGTACATGCTGATATGCATGCACAGAGGAGTGTATACACATATATGCAGTTCTAATGAAATGCAGGGGGATTGACAGCAGCTACAGACCTTTGATCCTTAAATATGAAGAGAATAATTAAAGGAGCAACAATTTTGAAACACAGCCACGGGAATACAGAGCAGATACTAACTTGCACTCAGCAGCTGCAAACCCTGCATCCTGAATACACTGGGGCAACCCGACACGTGTAACGCACATAAATACTGGGTATAAAAATATCATCTTACAATGAAAATGCTAATAGTATGATTACACACTTATCTATGTGTCCCAAATGACTGCATGGGATGTGCACAGTATGTAGACACCTTCCTGCTTGTGATGGTACACTAACTACCCCCCCCCCCCCCCACATACACACACACACACACACACACACACACACATTAAAAAGACCTTCAGTGATAGTGGGAGGGTAAAATGCTTGGTTGAACCTCAGTTCTTCCGTGGTTAATCGCAGCAGGGTGAGCGCTAACTTGGAGTGCTGTGCTGACTGGGCACAGCACTCTGCGGTCACAGTGCTTGGGCTGGATAAACTACAGCGTGACGCAGTTGCACACACACAAACACACATACAATGGTGGATCCTTAAGGAACAACAGTGTGGATACAGATAGATCTTGTGATTTGTGAAATGGTGTTTTATTTTCACATCACGGTGTGAAATGGGTGAAGCTCACCACCTAACTGAGGACTCAGACAGTGAATAAAACCATGTTAGTGTTGAGAGCACAAGTACAAACCAGCATTAACAAATACAATTCAACTCAAAAGGTAAGTTTTGCTTTAGGTGCAAACCCCCTCACACCCCAAAAAACTTTTCAAAATGGCTACCAACTGAGCACAGTTTATGGTACATCAAATAATCACTTGTTCTAGGTTTAGCTACGTAGTTCAATTGCAAAAGTTTGTAGTGTTAGGTTCAGGGCCTTGTAAGGTCACTGTTCAATGGAGCCAAAAGGATTACTGATCCATTCCTTCCAACCTTTACCTACAATCCTACTTATTATGTCCAAGAGTGAGATACTGGATACAAGCGATTGAAATGGTTCAGGCCTAGATGTAAGGTGAGGAGCTCCCATAATCTGGGGGAGCCCAGAGTATAGTTGCAGTACCTCCACATTAGAAGATGTCAGCTGAAGTGGTCTGATTATATCCATCTCCTGGGAGCTTCCCTCTGGAGGTTTTCCAGGCACGTCCTACTCGAGGAAGACCCCAGGGCAGACCCAGAACTTGCTAGAAAGATTGTGTATCCTTTCTGCCCTGGGAACACCTAGGGATCCCACAGGTAGGGGCTGGAGAGTGGTGCTAGGGAGAGGATTGTGTGAGCTTCCCTCCTGGACCCGTTACCTCTGTCACTTAACCACAAATTAGAAACTAATAGAGGGTTATCTTGCATTCAGCAAAAGGATGAAAAACAAATCAAACCTGCCTTTAATCATTTCCTGGCTACAGAGTTTGCAGTGATTCAAATGGA